CTGTCTCGGCACCCCAAAGCTGGAGTTACAGGCATGCAGACCATGCTGCCTTTATTACATAGGTGCTGGGATATGAACTCAGGTGTTCATGCATGAATAGTATTTGTATCTACTGAGCTTCTCTCAATTTTGATCAATGACACCATTTTTACAACAATAGTAGACTATCAAACTGAGAAACTGACATGACATATCAAGCCAATTACAGACCCCACCTACTTTTTATCAACTTATGTGTGTGTGAATGGATTTCTGTGACACTTCTTCTTTTTTCCAAACTTTATGATTTATTTTTAAATTATAATTTTTCTTTGTTCATGAGAATTTCATACATGCATGTGATGAAATATTGTCATGTATCACATTCATGTGGCTCTTTCCTGTCTCTACTCCTTTTTGCTTTTTTGTTTTGTTTTTTGAGACAGGGTTTCCTTGTAGCCCCACTGGGCTGGAACTCTCTATGTAGATCAGGCTGGCCTTGTTCTCACAGAGATCTGCCCACCTCTGGCTCTGTGTGGGTAAGGGTGCCCATGTACACATGAGAAAGGCAGACATGATGGGATTAAAGGCTTGAATTTTTACTTTATTCCTTTTTGAACAGAAATATTTATAGCTGTTACCCTATACCTACCCCCTCCACAGTTTGTTTAGTATGAGTGAGGTGAATCAATTTCTCCTTTTGTTTATCATATGTACACAGAAGGAAAGGGTATGAATTAAATGATTCAAAGAGAGCATTGGAAATGCACCTAGAAATGAACTTGAGGATGAGATTCTAGGCAGAACTGAAGAGACCTTGCCTCAGTAACAACAGGGAGAACAATCAAGGAAGATACTCAGCGTCAACTTTGGACCTCCACATACATGCATACACATACATGTGCCCCTTCACACACATGTCCACAGATATGGGAACAGGTATACATACCCCATACACATGTACATGCCAAAAAATAGGATGAACCTTTGGGTGGTTTGGGGAAAAGATAAGCTCAGGTTTAATATGGAGATAGTATAACTACTTTAAGACAGGAAGGAAATAATCATGATTTAAAATATGTATTCGAAAATTCTTTAGTATGTTTTCCTCTAAATGTGAGCTGCACCCATGATTTCCTTGATACACAGAGGATATGCTAGAAGTGCTGGACCTCTGCTTTTGAAATTATAAAAATATTATGGCTTCTACCTTTAGGGAGGTTCTCTCTCAGATCACTTTGCTTGAGGAACACATTTACTGCATAGCTCTGTGGGGAAATGCAGGCAGCAAATTGTGAGCTTTATCCTCTCAGCCTCTTTAGCTTGAAAACAATTTCTATTTCCAGTTAACGTTCATGAAACTATAGCCCTGGCCAAGGGGCTGACTACAATCTTTTTAGAGACCTTAAGCTGGAAATATCCAGCTTAGCCACTCCTAGATGCCTCAGAAACTGTGAGAGACTATAAATTGTTTTAAACTGCTAAAATTGCTCTTCAACAATAGCAACTGATGTTCTCTCTGAAGGCCCTCTTTTCTGGTACTTTGCTTTGTGACTTCTAGCTACATTATTTTGTGTTCTCAAGTCATGGAGCCTTCTGGGCTCTACTGAGTCTTCCCTGTGCTGGGGATCTGCTTCTGGGGCACAACTTATTTCACTCGCTCTTTTCTCTCCTGGGTCACAAGACTAGGCTGCCTGTTGTTTAGCATCTGAAAACTGTTATTTCACACATCTTGTTTGCTTCTATTTAAAATTTAATTACATTTATTTATTTATTGTGTGTGTGTATGTGTGTGTGAGAGAGAGAGAGAGAGAGAGAGAATGAATGAATGAATGAATGTGTACACACCCACGAACTCACAAGTGGAAGTTACAGGACAACTTGCAAGAATTGATTCTCTGCTTCCACCGTGTCAATCCAATGGATCGAACTGAGGTCCTCAGACTTGGTGAGATGTGCCTTTACCTGCTGAGTCATCTCTCTGGCCCTGTCTTGTTGTTTTCTAATTCCACAAAGTAAGAGTTGAAATCTAGGCACTGTTATTCTATCCTGGTCAAAGCCAGTTTACAACATGATCTCAATTTAGCTGAGTGTTCTGGAGAGTTGATACCTTAGTGCAATTCAGTAAAAGCGTTCTTTGTATTTTTCTCAAGACTTTAAGACTTTTTTTTTTTTTTTCCTGGAGAGGGGAATATTTAAGATTAGCTTTAGGTTGTGAGAGGATCAGTTCCAGTGATGAAAAGAATTATGAAAGTTTGGAGGCATGAAAGCTGGCTTTGCATGTAAAGCAACCAAGCTTATAAAATGCAGTATATAAACACCTTGTGCACAAGTGCTGTTGGATCCTCTTGCTCTGGTGCTGATCCCTGAGGTGTTCCTCTTCTATCCTTGCTCTGAGAACACCACATCAGTGCTTGGTGGGTTCTACTGTCTGGTGACATATGCAGTAACCTGTCTTGACCAACATGTTTTCCCAGCTGCTTTTTTCTTTCTTGTAAGGTTGGTATTGCACACAGGTATCACAGCCCTTATTTCTTCTCAATTTCCCCACGCATACTTCACTCAGTCCTAAACCAGACAGTCCGCCCTTTCATATGCACACACTCAGATAACTTTCCCTGATACTTCTGTTCACACACCTAGAACTCTGCTCTAGGTAGAACAGACATTCTGTATCATTTCTCTTGGGCTCATCCAGACATGTGTTGAGAGGGGCAGGTTAGTAGCTAGAACTAGGGAAACTCTGGACCTACAAGGTGAAGTTGGAATAAAATACCACCCAGATAATAAATTCCATCACTTTTCAAAGAACCCTGGAAGTTTCCTGAGAATTGGCACCTCTAGTCAGCCAATAAGTCATGTGTGAGGGTGATGTGAAAAAAAGATATGTAAAAGAAAATCATTTCTATATTCCAAAATTTGGTAGTCTAGTAAGAGAAATGAGTATAAAAGTCATCTCAATGCAAATGATTTATAAAAGTATTTGACTACATACAAAATAAATAATATTGTATTCAAAGCTGGCTGGGAATTAGGCAAAGATTTCTGTAACAACCTCTTCTATGAAGACTGGTGGGAATTTCTAGCAGTAGGAATGAGCAATCTCAAATGTATTCTAATAAATATAGACAATTATATGCATTTCTTCTAGAGTTTTGCATCACTGTTATTGTTAAAGCACATGTGAGAAACATCGTACTTAAGACCTTTATTCCAGGGAAGGTGTTTTCTTGATTGAGCTGGTTTTCAATCTTAATAGCTTTTATGCTTCTCTAAAATGAGTCTCCTTATCTCTGATTCTTTGGTTAGCTTTAAGTCTGTATAACTGAATTCTATGAAGAAAAGCACCAGGCTCCCAGGTAAGTCTCTGGGAACTCACACCCCAGTTATTCCAGTTTCAAAGATTTTACAAGACAAGGTTTAAGACAGTGCAGTCTTGACAAGCTCACCTAGACTGTCTCCAAGTTTACTTTTAAACCCTGGACTATTTTAGGACTCAGTTTATTCAAACAATGGCTTGCCTTTGAAATAAGATCTGCCTCCCTTAAAGGCATGGTAATCACCTTTGACACTGGGGACAGTAGGTAAAACAACAAAGGATGTGGGAAACTGCACTCAGTACTGAAAGTTGTTTTTTTTTTTTTTTTTTTTAAAGCTGATTGGCATTAACTCTCCTTTTTTGGTGTCTGGACTAGTGTAGAGGATAAAAGTGGGGGGTTAGATTGATCATCTTTGAGTTTGAAAAGTTTGATGACTGTTGGAGAGGTGTGAGCCACAACAAAGGAGAGGAACAGTTGAGACTGAAGAGGACACACACACACACACACACTCACCTGGTCTGAGAGCTTTAGAATACAGTATTTTAAATCCTTAATTTTATTCTCATGAGAAAGTTGGCGGGGGAGTGGGGGAGACAGGGAGAGGGAAGGAGGGGAAAGGGAGTGAGAGAACAAGAACACTGACACCAAAGAGGGAGTGGAAGCTAAAGCGGAGTAAAAGGCTCTGAGCTTTAGTGGTGTCTGCTGTCACTGTCCTGGGAACCTGTGAGGCACACGCCATCAGGAATTATTTTATCTCCAGGCTTGGACAATTATGAAAGACAAAGGTGGTGGGCAAATCGAAGACCTTTGGTACGGCAGGCTGCGGCTCTGCCTTCAGGTCTGCTCTAAGTATTGCTTTGTGTGTAGGGCGGTTGGGGATAGAACTGGACAAAGGGAGGAGCCTGGGTGAGGGTGCAAGCAGACTGAAAGGCTGCTACCTGCTTTCACCTAAGCTGGAGAGAGGGGTAGGGTAGAAGGTGGGGGAGAATGCAAATTGCGTCTTTCGGAATGGCCAATCACGAGTCTGGTGAGGGAATTTGGGTCCCGACGCCACCCCTGCTCTGCCCATGAGCACGTGTGCGGTGTTCTGGAATCTTTGTCCTGCCGGGTCAGGCTTGGCGGGCACCTCCTGGTCCCCTATGGTCCCTAGTTCTTGTCTTATCTACCGAATTTCCCCCTCCACACCCCTCTTTGCGAATTCCACGTTCTCCCGCCCCATCCCCCAGCCAACCCCTTCGGCGGCGCAGCGGGCTAGAGCCTTGTTCCTCGCGTCCCAGGGAGTGTGCTGAGTTTGGTACACCCGGTTGCCAAGCCTGGGGCACCAGGCTGGTTCCGCGCGGGTGCAGGCGACGAGGCTGGGCTAGGACAGCACAGCGCTCCAGCCCGCTCGGGTGGGCAGTTCTCCGCCAGTCCCCAGGCTGCTGCCCGCCCGCCTGCGCCTGCAGGCTTTCGGAGGACTGCGGGGCTTTCCTCCTGCCGGGGCCTGGAAACTCCTGCACAGTCCAGAACACAGAAAGTAGACTCATCACCTAACTCTCCAGGGAGCCAGAGCGCCCGGGGGGCCGTGGCGCCGCCGGCCCTGCTCCTCCCCCAGCCCACCCCGCCCGGGCTCGGCGGCCTCCGGGAGTCACTCAGCCTGCCCCCCACACCCCCACCCCTGGCAGACAAAGGCCCGGGCATTCGCCGCCCGGCCTCCAGCGCTCCGGGGAGGCAGCTGCGCCCGCCTTACATCGCGCCGGAGGCGTGCGCTGGGCGAGGAGCTGGGACCGCGGGAGCGCGGGGACATGGGCCGCGAGATGCCCCTGGCTCGCATCTGTTGCTACTGCTGCCTCCTCTACCAGCTGGGCTTCTTGTGGAACGGGATCGCCGCAGGTAAGTTCTCCAGTGACTTTCCGCCTCCCTCCCCCACTTCCTCTGGGCAGAGCGGGGACACTGGAGGAGGCAGAGCTGGTGCAAACGGCGCGTGCCGAGTGTGCTCGGTGGGTATCAATAGAAATGAGCTCCTGGTGCACAGGAGCCGGTCCAACTCCGAGGTGAAGCACATGTCTCCTGGCTTTCCTCTGAGTCATGTTTGCAAAGATACTTTTAAGGCATCTACGGGAACACGGGGATGCATGCCCTGTTACACTCATGCAGGAGTTTGCACACTTTTAAATTAGTAAATGCGGTCACCAACTTTGCTGTTTCACTCGTTCTCGTACTTTTATTCTGAGAATGCTTGCTACTTGCAAAAGCTTCAGGGGCTAGACTGGTGGTGCCCCCTCGCACTCTCGTGCGCCTCCGGTCCGTGTGGACTGTGTGCCTGATGCTACTGGAACCAGAACTTTAAGCCCGCACCTCTCTGTCTGCCTGGTCTGCAGGGCTGCAGTTCGCCCCCAACCTGGAGGAGTGGGAAGTCGTGTTTCCTGCACTCTGGCGCCGAGAGCCCCTGGACGCGGCTGGCGGCAGCGCGGGCAGCGCGGACCCAGGCTGGGGGCGCGGCACCGGGGGCGGCGGTCGGGCGCAGGGCGCGGGCAGCTCGCGCGAGGTGCGGTCAGTGGCCCCGGCGCCGCTGGAAGAAGCAGCCGAAGGCCAGACTGAGTCCCGGTTCCCGTATCCCCAGAGACCCGGGGGTGACGAGGACGAGGAGCCCGAATCTCAGGAGCTGCCGCGGGGATCCAACGGTGCTGCCGCCTTGTCCCCAGGCGCCCCGGTCTCATGGCAGCCCCCGCCGCCCCCGCAACAGCCCGGGTCCCCGCCCCCGGTCCAGCAAGTGGATCCCAGCAGCGGGGAGGTGCTACTGAGGATCCCGGCCTTCTCCAGGGACCTGTACCTACTGCTCCGGAGAGACGGCCGCTTCCTGGCGCAGCGCTTTGCGGTGGAGCAGTGGCCCAGTCCAGGCCCCGACCCCACCCGGGCAGCAGACGCCCCTCGCCCTCCAGCATCGCCCGAAGCCGCCTGCTTTTACACCGGGACGGTGCTGAGGCATCCAGGCTCTCTGGCCTCTTTCAGCACCTGTGGAGGTGGTCTGGTAAGCGCCCTCCTTTCTCGCATTCCGTCCTGCTAAGCTCCATTCCATCTTCCCAAACTCCGAACATCAAGCTGATTTGCATGCCCCTCCTCCTCCCCTTTACTGGATGCCTCTGCTTTTAGCCTTGTGTAGTTCCACACAGGTGTGCACACTGCTTCCAAAGCACCATCTCCAGGGCAGCCTTGTGAACCAGAAGTCTAAGAAGATGTAGAAAAAGCCTTTAAGCGAACGGTAAATTTCATTCGGATTTCTGCCTTGTTTCTTGCCAGAGGTTCGACTCCTTTCTGAGTTTCTAAAGTAAGCTACCACGTGGTATCTTTTAGCAGTTTGAAATCAACCAATCTGCTCCATACTGAATCATTTTCGTATCCCTCCCTCCCCCAGTTCCTCATCTATGATTTTACAGGCTTTTTTTTTTTTTGTAAATGTCCTATCTCAAAGTCATCAGAACAACTCTCCATGGAATTAATCCTGACTGACAGTTGTCTGGAATACAAAAAACATTCTCAGCATTCTAGACACCTATTCCCTGACCCTGTATGAGCCCAGTGGAGAGGGTATCAACCTAGGCGCTGGGACTGTTAACTAAGGGCAATACTGGAACACTATCAGCGTTAAAAGGGTTCTATGTTCTAGATTTTTAAGGTTGCACGTTATTCAACAACAGTACCTTTTCTTATCTACGCTTCCATGATAGAAAATAACAAGGCAGAGAGCCTTCCCAAGAGTCTTGTTGAGAAAGTCAAAGTCCCTTCCTCTGTCCATGTACATAATTTTTCTCCAACTTGACCTCATTAACTTCTATAAGTTGGCCTTTACTTTGTGTGTGTGAGGATAAAGTAATAAATGCATATGATAAAATTTACCATTTAGATCATGTGTTCAATTCAGTGACTGTAATTACATTCACCTTGTCCTATTATAGCCACTAAGGCCTTTACTACTCCTATAGGGCAAAATTCATAAAACAATTGAAAATCTTGTAAGTTGTAGTTGCTTTTCTGTTCTCTTAAGAGGGCCCCTGAGGAAGTGGATGAGAAGTTGTATGAAAGCAACTTGATCCCACAGAGGAAAATCTAACAGCAATGGTTAACAGAAAAGATTAGCATAGTCATAATTGCCCCAAACCATAGAATGTAAAATGATGGTTAAAAACTCAAACACCAAGACTGGAAACTGTTACCTATGTCACCGAAGGTCTCATGTTAAATGATGTAAATTGTTGGACAAGGCTATATTTTACCAGATGGTGAATATTCAAATGTAGGCATGTTTAGGCATGAGTGAGAAGTTGGCTTGGGAAAATGACATGAAAAACTTTGAAGAAATGTTTTCTGTGGAACTGATACTTGAACACTTCACTGGGGAAAAGGTTTTGTGTGGATTTCATTGTCCACTGACTTTTGGCTGGGGATTACATAATTACATATAGAAAGTTCCTGGTGTGGTAAGAGCAATAGGGCATAAAGCATTTCACTGTGTTGAAATGTAGGCTTTGGGTCAGATTTTCCAAATGAGCTATGCCCTCTCACTATACTTAAGGGAGCAAAGTTAGAATTATGAGTAGGTTTTTCATGGACTGAATAGGAGTTTGACATTCCTCCCTGTTTATCATGTTGGATTTTTGCTCACTTTTCCTATTAGCCACACATATATATATTCTGAACTGGGAAGCCTTTGTTATTGAGGAAAACTGATGTTGCCAGCAATACAGTATAGCAGTCAGAATTTGAGTAAAAATTTAGGCAAATAGCCAAGAGGGTAGGTTTGTTACTTTAACTGCCATGCCTGCCTGGAGTTCCTGGATTAGGAAAGAACATAATCGTTATCTGGACTCCCCCATTGGCTTCTTCCCAGGTGATAAGTTCTTCATGTTTGTCACTTGAGAGATATGAAATTAGATGATCCAATTAAAAATTTGAATGGAGCCGGACATGGAGACACACACTTTTGATCCCAGCACTTAGAAGGCAGAGGCAGGTAGATCTCTGTAAGATCAAGGCCAGCCTGATCTATACAGCAAGTTCCAGGCCAGCTGGGGCTACAGGGAGACCCTGTCTCAAAAACAAAACAAGCAAACAAAGAAAAAGAAATTTGAATAATCAATTTTATTGACATTAAATATATTTTAGATCATGTGTTGAGGGTTAGAATGGCCTGCCTTCAGATACTCACAGATAATATGCCATATATAAATGGATATTATATGAGTAGTCAGTCATGAAGCAATGGCACATGTCCCCATGAAGAGTCAACTCTCATACCTGAGGTAAAGCCCATGCCCATTGTGAAGTTCCACTACAGGAGTTGGGCCAGGCTTCCCAAGAATGGGGGAACTTTCCCCAGTCACACAGGACGAAAAATACTTCAGGTAGATGAAAGAAACTGCAGGAAGGTGTGAAAAGGCAGAGCCTGTCTAGGAAATGATATAAAACAAACTCTGTTGACTAGGCCAGAAGATGAGATAGGAAGATCTCAGAAAGTCCATTGAGACTTTAAAGACTTTAAAGCCATTGGACCTTAAAGCCTTTTCTACTTGGGTAGGTGCCTTGACTGACTAACTTAGGTGCTCCAGGGACCTCATTATTGTTCATCCTGCAATCCTAATGAGAGATGGCATGATGTAGAAGGCGAATTATCTCTAAATGCAACAGCCTTTGGTTCACAACAGTGTTTTCCTTCTCTGTTAGTAAAGGGTTCTTACTGTCAGTTTCTTAGGAAAGGGAACATAACCAAGTTCTGGCTCCTTTCACTCTCTCTAGTTTTGTCTACTAGGTGCTACTCAGCTACTGAACTGAACATTTTTTGAATTTTTGAGAATTTCATACAATATATTTTGATAGAATTGAGAGAGAGAGAGAGAGAGATACTGAGAGAGAGAGTCAAATTTGTATCCTCAAAAACGCTTTGATCTGGGTCCATCCACTGGGGCCTGATTAACCGATCAAGAGTCTCATCCTTAAACGAGACTGACTCCCGCCTCCCAGCAGTCATCGGTTGCCAGTAGTTCCTCAGGTCAGGTTGGGGTTTCTTACCCACTTCCCCATGTCCATGCTGGAATTTTGTCTGCCTTGAGTTTACATGGGACTTGCGCATGCTGTCACAGTTGCTGTGAGTTCATATGAGTAACTGCCCAGCTGTCTGGGAAACACTGTTTCCTTGTGATCTTCTATCACCTCTGGCCTTTACAATCTTTCCATCCCTTCTTCCGAAACGGTCCTTGGGCCTTGCGAGGCAGAAGTTTAATATAGGTGTCCTATTCAGGGATAAACACTCTGCAGCCTCTTAATCTCTGCATGTTGGTCAGTGGGTGGTTTTTGTGCTAATCACCATCTGCTGCATGAGGAAGCTTCTCTGTGAGATTTGAGAGATGCATTAATCATGGCAGCTCCGGGAGAGCTGTGAACCCTACCTTGATTATTACATATTTTAAAAAGATCCAAAAGTCTGTAGAAAAGTCATTCAATTGCCAGCTACCCAGTGTTATAAAGTTGTATTTAGTATAGTGGGCAGTTTGGTCCCCAGATAGTGATATACTTTGTATTGTGAAATGAATAGAAACCGAGTAGATGCTTTGAATACAGGGCTGAGTGCTGCCTTAGGAAGGAGTCAGTCTTTCTGAATCTCATTTCCCACTTTCATTCAATGCACAAATTATACTTGTGTATCAGGGAACCCATCTATGTATGAAGTATTGTCATGTCTGTTTCTCCCAGCTAGGAAGTACTGAGTAATATTCTTAGCTGAGTCATCTATTAGATCAGGTGGGGGCACACAAATACCAAACTTCTTATCAATAAATCATCCATTCAATGACTCCTGTAACTAAAGCACTTTGCGGATGCAGAACTCAGAAGACGAAGCAGCATGAGCATGCTTCAAGGAGCTCTCAACCCAACCTGCCAGTCACCAGCACAAACAGGAAGTCCACAAACTGAGGCACCTGCAGGTGCAGCAGAGGTCCTAGTGCTGGATGGAATTGTCTTCTCGCTTTTAATTATTAACTATAAGTTGTCTAGGTCTTAGAAGGCACCATAAAACCCACTGGAAAACATAATCATACTAAATAATGCGTAAAGTACCTTATTACACTCTAATTATAGTCTTCAAACCTAAGACATGTAAAAGGAACCAAAACCTGCAAAATAGTACAACAATTATGTTTGCTCAAAACTGACTTAATAGCATTATTCTGGGGACTGCCGGGGGCCTAATGCATGCTATCCAAGCACTCTACCACTGTGCTACATGATAATTGAAAACAATCATATCTAAGCTCTGAGCTAAAGAAAAATAGATTGGTACTTATTTTATTTGTGGTTAAATATGTAGATATTTTCTCAGGATGATAAATAGTGGTGACTAAATCAGTTATAAATTTTCTTATTAAATTAAGAGTTTTAGTTGCTATCCCAGCACTTGAAGACTGAGGCAGGAGGATGATGAATTCATGATCAACATGAACTAAATAAAGAAACCCTATCTTAAAAACAAATAAGAATTTTATATACCAGTAATGATTTTGATTAACATTTTGACACAATATGGAAATTTACATAAATGCTTAAAAGGTTTTATTTGTTTTTTACTTTCTCAAGAATCAGAGAATTTCATGCTGTGATAAATTTTGAATAAGTTACTATTCTGGGACTGCTATTTTTGGGCACACCATCATATCAGGAACCAATAAAAGGGAAGTCAGTCGGGGCAGAGATGAAGGAAGGAGGATGCATAACAATGAGACTGCACAAATACATATTCAATTGGAAAGGTTGTAATATAAGATCAATCCCATGTCGTTACCTTCCTTTTGAAATCCGTATTTTAGAACTGATAGCAAAGCTGTTCTGAGCAGTTGCCAAACATTTTTATCAGGACATCAGACATTTTGAATATCTCAGGAAAAACTGAGAGTAATTTGGCTGGATTAATGGAAAACATCTGTGAATGGCAGGAGCCATGCCAGGAGTGCTGCTGTCCACTCAGGAAAGGCAGAGCTG